ACGAAAGAAATTCATAAGAACAAAATAAATATAATATGCAATATTACAAGAAAATTGAAAGGACTTTACATCAACCTACTCTACATATCAGAGTCCTGGTGTGGCACTGTAGGATAAGCACTGGAATACTAACTACAAGGTAAGCAGTTCAAACCCACCAGCTGCTCCTTGGGAACCCTATACAGTGTTGTTATGAATCGGAACTGACTTGTCGGCACTTAAGAACAATAACAGCAACTCTGCATATCAGTTTAAGAGCAGAATCGATGCAATTCTGTAATTTCCTCCATACCTACTTCCTGAGAAAGGATGAAAGGAGAAAATCTTACTATCTACCTCTCTGAAAGATTGCAGCGGGCATGGATTTCTTTCTACTTTTTATGGGTGCAAGAGTCATTATTTTCTAAGTTAAACTGGGTTCTGAACATGATGAAGTCTCTATTACCCCTTGTTATTGTTGTTGTTGTTGTTATGTGCCGTGGAGTTGGTTCTGACTCATAGCAACCCTGTACTAGGCCTAACAAAATTCTCATCCCTTTGAGAAATCTCCCCTTGATTAACGTATATGTTTTCTCCCTCCGAAAGTCCATTATCTACTGTGGGAGATACCTCATAATCCCACATCAAGGCAGCTCTGTATTGATCTCTCTTTCCTGAGGTTGAGACGGGGGTGCTGGCATGGCACTACTCTTTTTTGTCTTTCTGTTTGTCTCATTTTGTTTTTTTCCACTCACTAACTAACTCAACCTATTATAGGAATTAAGAGGTTACTATAGAAAGCAAAGTTAATAGTATGGTAATAAATTTGACCTTCCCTTTCTGTCGTCTCTCAATGAGGACTGTATTTGGTTAAAGACTCCTATGGCAATTGTATTATTTAACCAGTATTAATTTTCATGCACTCTTTCATAAAGGTGATCCTGCATAGAATAATTCATACTATATTTCAACACTGAAATGAGATAAGCAGTTCTAGAAATATATTGTTGTTGTTAGGTGCCGTGGCGTCGGTTCCAACTCATAGCGACCCAGTCCAGGGTTTCCAAGGCTGTAAATCTTTATGGGAGCAGATAGCCTCCTTTTTCTCCCATGGAACAGCTGGTAGTTTCGAACTGCTGACCTTGCGGTTGGCAGCCCGATTCGTAACCACTATGCTACCAGAGCTCCTTAAAAAAATATATATATATATGCCATTTGAATTCTTTGATTACTTTGGATACATTGCTTTGATTGACTTAAGCAACCATTCTCAACATCTTGTCCCAGGTGAATAGATTCCTTTTAATACTTCCTTCCTTTCATTAGCAAACATCCTTTGCCAGGGCTATGGGGATGAATGCTGATGAAATCATTGGCATATGGCTTGCAACATAGCCTTTGTCAATATTTGTACTCATTCTCTAAACTGAGTTTAGTCATCTGCAGATCAGGATGCAATAATAATGCTGGACAGACTCTTATCTTTTCCCCACGCTATCAGATGGTTTATTTGGGACATTTCCTCATATACCTGTTTAGAAAACAATATCAATAATGCACTTTGCATCCTTTTTGCAAAGTAACATAATTCATCTGTGACGCCAGTCAGTAATGTAAAAGCCCCTGCTTCTGGTAGAATTTCTTGAAAATGCTTCAGGAAGGAGTAATAGGTTTCTCAAATCAGCTCGGCATCCCACATACCTAAGAAAGTGCCTTTTAAGAGGCCACATGAAATTGAGAAGGCATATAAGAGACAAGAAATCTTGTGGATGGTTTTCAAATGCAGAAAGAATCCTGTTTCTATGAGACTTCCAATTTTACCATTTTGCAATTTAAAAAATAGAAATATTGTGCTCTCTCCCCCACAAACACATCAGAATCCTGTCAAAGTACTGTTTAACCTGTGGTTGTTGGGTTATACGTTTTAGCCCCACTCTCTATACCTAAGTGAAAAATAGTTGTTTTCTTTGTTAATTTCCCCACTCAAATCTCTTCAGTCATCAAATTTTCAGTTTTCACACAAAGGCAAGAAACTTACGTTACTTTGTCACAGACAGTGCACTTCCAGCTGCCATCAAGGCCTGCAACCCGACACTCGCTGCACACCCTTAGTGAGCAGGCCTGGCATGGGGCTCCCCGGTCAAATATTAAGCCCAGGTTTCTCTGACAGTGAACACAAATTCTATTGGTCTCCTGTTGAATCTTCCCACCTCTACGTTTTGCTTCTAAGAGTTCATTTTTCAACTTCCTGGAAAGAGAGAAATAAAATCACTTAAAACACAAAACAGAAGAGCCAAGTTAAATAAAGATTTAAGAGATGTTTTCATTTGGAAGAATAGTTGAAATAATCCAGGAGTCAGAGCCAAATACTTTCTGGAGGAATACAGTTTTTGTTTCCAAAATCAATAAACTATTTCATATCAGTGACTGAAAAATATAATGTGTGTGCTGTACTTTTAAGTTGTGATAGCCTCTGCTAGTACAAACTATGAGTCTTGGGTGACACAACTATCTGGAAGGGTGGGGTTTGACCCCATTCAAGGGCACCTCAGAAAAAAAGACCTAGTATTCTGTGTTTGAGAGGTCACAGCCTTGAAAATGCTATGGAGCAGTTTTACTATGATCCACATGGGATCATCATGTGTTAGAATCAACTTGACAGCAAATGGTTTCATTTGTTTTGTTTCCTGCTACTATAACTCTTTTGCCAATAGGGTTTCTTCACACTCTAACTTCTTTGGGTTATCTTTGGTACTATATCATAAGAGCATGACCTTAGTCTAGAGCCATGTTCTTTTGTTGTGGTGGTTAGGTGCCTGCAAGTCAGTTCCAACTCATAGCGACCCCATGCACAATACAATGAAACATTGCCTGGTCCTGAACCATCCTTAACAATCATTGTTGCACTTGAGCCCAGTGTTGCTGCCAATGTGTCAATCTATCTTGTGGGGTGGGGTCTTCCTCTTTTTCATTGACCCTCCACTTTACCTAGCACAATGTCCTTCTTCAAGGATTGGATTTCCTGACACCATGTCCAAAATATGAACGACAAACTCTCGCCCACCTGGCTTCTAAGGAGCATTCTGGCTGTACTTCTTCCAACACAGATTTATTTGTTCTTTGGACAGTCCATGGTACTTTTAATATTCTTCTCCAACATCGTAACTCAAATGCATCAATACTTCTATGATCTTGTTTATTCATTATCCAACTTTCACATGCATATGGGGTTATTGAAAAGACCATGACTTGGATTAGGAGCATCTTAGTCCTCAAAGGGATATCTTTGCTCTTGAACACTTTAAAGAGATCTTATGCAGTAGATTTGCCTAATGCAATGCGTCTTTTGATTTCTTGACGGCAGCTTCCATGTTCTTTGTTGTTGTTGTTGTTGTTGTTGTTATGTGCCGTGGAGTCGGTTCTGACTCATAACGATCCTGTACAGGGTTTCCGAGGCTGTAAATCTTTACGGGAGCAGAAAGCCTCATCTTTCTCCCATGGAACAGCTGGTAGTTTCGAACTGCTGACCTTGCGGTTCACAGCCCGATTCATAACCACTAGGCTACCAGAGCTCCATGTTCTTTAGATAAGAAAAATATATGATATATGTGATATGAATATTTGTAGCATAAACACTGGACTGCTAACTGAAAAACTGGCAGTTCAAACCCACCAGCTGCTCCTTGGAAACACTTTACAGGGTTTGCTATGAGTCGGAATACACTCAACAGCACTTAACAACAAAAACATGACATATATATAAGATACATAAGATATGGCAAATGTGTTTAAACAAATAGCATCATTAGTAATTTAAGTGAAGACTGTACCTACAAAGATATTACCAGCCATTTCAGCTCTAAATGCTTCTGTTGGCATTTGAACATCCCCAGCAATTTCTATGCATCTATGTGTTTTACTGTCAGAAAGCACTATTCATAGGCTTCCCCATGAATTAGCTGTACAAACCCACTCAGTCTCAATGTTTTCATTTCTAAATTGAAAATATGTAAGAATGTTTCATATTCTTATTTTTTAAAAGATTAAATGACATAATATATGTAAAGTTCTTAGCATGGTGCCTGGTACATAGAGATGGAATAATGAGAGATCAATGCCTGTTTTTGCTTTGTTTTTTAATGACCTGACATGCAATCTGTTTATATATTCTTTGTTGATGTCGTTATTGTTGTTGTTAAGTGCCATCAAGTCAGCTCTGACTCATACTGACCCTCTATAGGGTTTCCGAGGAATGGCTGCTGAGTTTGAACTGACAACCTTTCAGTTCAATCTGACCTTGTGGTCCAGTGCTTCTCCTACTATTATTCAAAGTGTGGCCCTCATTTCAGTGAAATCAGCATCACTTGGGAGCTTGATAGAAATACAGAATTTTAAGCTATGCCCCAAACCTGCTGGGTCAAAAGCTACAGTTTGACAATATATCCAGGTAATTTGAGTTTAAGAAGCACAGCTCTAGAATATTTGTTCTGAAATTTGGCTGTACGTTGGAATCACCTGGGAAGTTTCTTTAGAAAATAGATGGGTTCCCGGGTCTCATTGGTTTGGGATGTAGCGTGAGCGATGATAATTGCTTTTTTAAGTTTCCCATTTTGTTATATATATAGCCGAATGTGAAAACCCCTGTTCTAGAAAACAGTTCAGTCCTATTTCCATGCCTCACAGACACTCCATTCCTTTATGCTATCTCCAAGCCCTTAGCCAACATAAAAATTCCCTGTGACAGGCAAAGAAAACACACCAGAAGCATCCCATACATTTTGGACTGTGTCCTTTGACATTTGTGGTACTGCACTTTGTTCTACTCAACTTGATTATCAAATTCCCAAAGGCAGGACTGATGATGTTGGTCTCTTGTTTCTACTATTCTGCTCAGGATGCAAGTGTCCTGGTGTAGCGCTGTGGGCTAATGCGATGGACTGCAAAGTCATTTGAGCCACAAAGTTGATGGTTCAAGCTCACCAGCTGTTCCTTGGAAACCCTATACGGGATTGCTATGGGTCAGAAATGACTCAACAGCACTTAACAACAACAACTTAGGATGCAATTCCATGGTAGGTTATAAAAGATTTCAGTTGATTTTGTGACCATAGTTTTTCCCAGTAGTTTCAGCCAGTCTATAGTTTAAGGAGCTGCTAAGTAGTTAAACCAGGACTCTTAATTCCTAACCTAAGGAATGAGAAGTTTTAGTGCTGAGAAAGTTTCCAAAGTCTTTGATTCACCGTCTCATTTATTTATCCAACAAGCAATTATTGAGTGCCTATGAGGCTTTCTGCCTCCTATAAAGACTTACAGCCTTGGAAACCCTGTACAGGGTGGCTATGAGTCGGAACTGACTCCACGGCACATAACAAAAACAAATTGTGTTTTAGTAAGAATCTCTGGTAGTGTAGTGGTTACAAGTCAGGCTGCTAACCTCAGTGTCAGCAGTTTGAAATGTAAATTGTTCTGTGGGAGAAAGATAAGGCTTTCTACTCCCTTAAAGATTTACAGGCTCAGAAACTGTATGCATGGTTGCTATGAGTCAGAACCACCACCACCATTGTGTATTAGTGGTTCCCTGGTGGTGGAGTGGTTATTGCCAACCAAAATATTGGGGTTCTTCAGGAGAAAGGTGAAGCGGCCTACTCCCATAAGGATTTACAGCCTGAGAAATGCTACGAGACAGTTTTACGTTGCCCTATATAGTTGCTATGGGTCGGAACCGACTCAACGGCACTTAACAACAATAACATATAGTTGCTATGGAGTCCTGGTGTGGTGCTGTGTGTTAATGTGCTGGACTGCAAAGCCGTTTGAACTGCAAGGTTGGTGGTTCAAGGTCAACAGTCACTCCTTGGAAGCCCTCTATAGGGTCACTATGGGTCGGAACAAACTCAACAGCACTTAGCAACAACAATATAGTTACTATGGAGTCTTGGTGTGGTGCTGTAGCACTGGATTGCTAACCACAAGGTTTCAAACCCACCAGCCCCTCCTCAGAAACTCCATACAGGGTCATTATGAGTCAGAACTGACTCAATGACACACAACAACAACAACAACTAATGTAATTCCTAAGAGAGCACTGGTGGCGCTGTAGGATAAGCACAAGGTAGGTAGTTCTAACACACCAGCCACTTGGAGGGAGGAAGATGAGGTTTCCTGTTCCTGTAAAAATTTACAGCTTCAGAAACCCTCTTCAGGGTCGCTATGAGTCAGAAATGACTCCAGGGCACTAACAGCAACAACAGCAGTGAGCCAGGATGGACTCTGCAGGATAGAAACCATAGGTTTGGGTCTTTGGTTTATTGGGTGTGTTAGGCATTCTGGGATTTATAGAGAAAAATCTGTCAAAAAAGGACATCTAATACAGCTCACCATTATCCTTGATGTCAGTCAATAACGGGACAAATCACAAAAGTTGACTTGTGTGTCAGGCACATTGAAGCCCGCCACTCTCATCTAACTAAGTAAGTCCAAATGATAATAGCCTACAATGCATGTCCCTAATTTAGAGTTTACAAGTACCCTCATATCTTCAGTGAGAGAAGGTGGCTTATGAAATTGAGTGTAAGAAGTGTGTCCCACAATTTATCTTTGAAAACTTACAAAAGCCATAGACTTTTTGATAATAGAATGAATTCTCATTTGAAGATCACAATTGTTGTATTATTTGTGTATCACAATAGATGTTCGAACACTTCTGTGCACAGGAGAAATAAACCAATGGCTATTCAAAATCGATAACAATTCATGCAGTAGTAATGAATGAAATGACCAAAATAGCATTAAAGACAGCAATCTTAGAAAATAGCCCAATTTCTGTAGGTTGATAGGAAAAACTGATAAAATGGAGTACAGGCAAGCAGGTTATTATTACAGAGACAAATTACCTCTGGAAAATTTGCTATCATCAAGAACCTGAAGTTTACGTTGTTGTTGTTAAGTGCCATCAAGTTGATTCTGTATAGTTTCTGAGGAGCAGCTGGTGGATTTGAACCAGTGACCTTGAGATTCAAACCAACCTTGCAGTCCAGTGTATTATCCTGCACTGCAGGACTCCGAAATTTACTTAGCAGCTCCTTAAACTAGAGTGACTGTCACTATTGGGAAAAATGATGGCCACACAAGCAAACCTTTACATTGCACTTTTCTGTGTGTTTAACAGACAGGACTTAATTTAGCAATCAGACTACACTCAATTTGCAGTCTCGGTGTCTGAAAGGACCCTCCGTTAAGGAACTCCAA